CTAGAGAGCCGGGCGTAATACTGATTAATGCGTACTTTAGCCTTTTGTCTCGATCGTATTAATGAGGCCTTGGGCTTCTTGTATTCTGGAGTATTTTGTTTTGTCAATGAGATAACGATTCTTTGTTTCAGTTGTAAGAAGCGCTGATTGTCACCGTTCTGCTTTGTATTAATCACTGTGTTGTGTTTGTTTATTAAGCTTTTAGGATTATAGTAGGCCACTGTTAGATTGTTGTTGGGACATGGTTGGGAGAATGTTGGCTAAATGTTGAGTAATTATTGATATGATATTTTGAGCCTGTTGCAGTTTTATTTTAGGAGAATGAGATTTGGTTTGACACATTGTCTAAGTATTGTGATAATATTGGAAGAATGTCGCGAGACTGTCTGTAAATTGTTGGAAGTGTTTGCAGTATAGTGAGACTTGTGAGAATGTTAGCTGACCTTTACAAGTAGGTTGGGAGACTGTAGGGAGACTAAACTTAAAATTTGAATAAAGAAGATATAAACAATGGATTGCACGGTGTATCCCATGTCATGTTTCCCTGCATCCCGTCATGCCTATGCGTACGTGACATGCATAAGTGCTACTGAATTAAAGAGGGAAGTTTCTGGATACAAAAACAATAGCCACTAGAAATGTCGTACTGGAAAGGCGAGACATTCTTAAAGCCTTTTATGAATGAATGCTGATAGAGAACACGAGTTAAAATAAAATAACGTGTGTAAGAAAATGTGAACGAAGAATTGGAACTGGATCAGGCAAGGACGGACATACCGGAGGAAGAGAACGACGTGTGAATAATCAGTGTGTTACGGCAACAGTTACAATCTGCACCTTAAGACACTGCTGCGGGAGACAGGGCATCTATCTGTATGCCCGGTGTATCATGATGAAACAGTAATCACTAATTAGATTAAATGAAGCAAACAAAAACGAAATATCTCTATTGTCTTCATCTCGATGTCGACATATACAATATATTCTAGTGATCTCAGTTGCCGCTGCATTTCTACATATTTTATACTATGTCATTTTAACACTCCTTTACTTCTTATTTTACTGTCCCTCTCCGGTTTCCATTCGTTGTCCCTTTCTCCTGTTCCCATCTGTCTTCCATCAGAGAGCTGTTCATGCCAGAATGTCACAAGGCATACTACAAACATGAACTAGATCGTGTTGTCGTAACAAGATACTTGTGTGTGTGTGTGTGTGTGTGTGCGTGCGTGCGTGCGTGCGTGCGTGCGTGCGTGTGTGCGTGTGTGTGTGTGCGTGTGCTGTAATGTGTTCCCAGCGATTAATGTGCAATTTAACAGAAAAACAAGGTATATAAAAGATTACTGCCAATACAAATGCACTCAGTTTCAAAACTACACTACGGTTCTTTTAAAACCTCGTCACCCCCGCCCCCTCCTATTTTGCAGATCAACACCCTTAAAAAACATGGACTGATGACACTAAAGAGCTCTACACCGGCACGTAATGCCAGTAACTATTGCTACCCGTCAAGCAGTTGATCTCAAACAATACCTCAACACAGAGTTTAACAACAAATGTAGAAATTGCTGATAATGATGATGATGATGATAGGTAAAAAGGTAAACGTAAAGTCGGGAGATGTGAACCAGCGTCATTGCACACGGTTATAAATCATAAATGCTCTACAACCAGAACAGACAGCAGATAAGAAACTGTCCGCCTGATTCACCGTCCGCACGAAACTCCGTAGCTACAGCGACGTTCCTCCATTTACACCAGAGTGTTAACTCTGGTACCCATTTCCTAGACGCTAAGTGAACCCCGCGAACTGCTAGGTTTCGAACACCGGTCGTCAGTTGCAGCTGAATTAAAAAGCGAGTCTCCTATCGACTGTGCTAACGCGGCCGAAAGATGATGATGATGATAATGAATTAGGAGCAACTATACGTTCTCGTTTTGTTATTTAGTGTATATTTTGTCATTGTTTTCGTCTGTGTTTATTTTCGGTGCAGTTTTCCTTCATCATGTTCATAATTGTTTGTTGTGTTCTAAATGTGTGTAGTCACAACGGTTATTTATTTTTTGGACTGCTAAACTGTGTCAGTCCAACATTTCAGTGGAACATTAAAGATGTATCATTTAATTAATTCCAGTTGACAAGTTAACAATCAACCACATTTAATAATAAACATATCGAGAAACATAAAGTGTCACCAAAGTATTAGTATGAAGGGGCATAACCTGACACCTTTTAGCTAAACAGCCTCGCTAGGCACGTAGGTATTTGGTTCAGGCAGAGAACCTGCGTTTTATCTGCACGGACTTGACTGTCTTTCTGTGTTCTGCCTAGCTTGTGAGACGAGTAGATACAGCTTGTGGACTGTTTGCCGGAGTCTGCAAAATCTAATTCAACTAGTAAACTGTGACTTGATAAACAAAATTGACTAGACGTTTACTAAACTGTAATTTGTCTTGTGATAGTAAGCACGTAAGTACTGTAACCTGAGTTAGACGTTATTTATAGTAACATGTTATATTACCAGACTTTTGTGGAAGATGTAGGTAATATATTTATGGATAGTGTTCATCAACATCATCATTGCCCTGTTGTGGTATTACATTCACATAAGTAAGTAAAGGATCACTTTTCCAAACATGTATGCGTACTGGGCATATAGGGCGAGACCTATATTTTATAGACACTCAGAAGGTGATGTAATCAACGTCACGCCTACTGAATTTACTTCACAGGACTGAACATGGTAGCCGTTTAAGGTTGGCTTGACCTGGGAGCCAAGGCCATTTTCGAAAGAAGAAAAAAAACAAATCCGGTTTCGTCAGGAGCTGTATAATAAGAACTCCACAACAGGAGCCTACCGACTCTCGATAGGTGGTCCCCCTGTACAAGTTGTTTCGGCCGGTTTATGCAATACACATCCTTACCTGCACAGTCGTGGCGACAGCACTAGCCATGCGACCGTAAATCCTTAGGCTCAAAGACCCCCCTGCATTGCAGAAGCGGTATAATATGGCCAGTAATTAGCAGTATCTTTCAAGACAGTCTCGGAAAGGGAGGTGGGGCGGGGGGGGGGGGGAGTTGGGGAAGGGGGTTACTCTCTTATGTGGCTCTAACATCATTTTAAATTTACTAAACCTGAAGAAGACTTACGATGTATCCGTTATATTCCATTGATGTAATTCTATAAGGAGGGTTTGCTTGAAGCTCGCCCCCTCCTCATCTTGCGATATTGTGCATACGTTTAACACGATGGATAGGCTATGTTTCTGGCCGTTGCAAAATGGCTGAGCTGATCCAAAATCCGTCGAAAGAAGTTCACAAGAGCAGTGATTTGATTTATTTTTTTGAAGGATGTCGACCAGTTGACATATATCGTAGAATGCCGGCAGCTTGCTGCAACACATGGTGTCAAAGACAACATCGACAGACAAAGCAGGCATGTTTCGGGAAGGATGTGAGTTCACAGCATATCTTCCAATGCGGAGTCAAGCACATATTCTTGTAACATAACATAAAACAATAAACCATCGCCTAAATTGATGCAGGTTTTTTCCTGTATGGGTTCCGTGACCCTACTATGGGGAAACATGAATAGACCCACCGCCTACCCAAAAACCATGTCGTAAGAGTCGACTAATTGGGAACTTCCTTCACAGTTAGAGTGCATCTGTCTGAGAGGCAAGGAACCAACAGTCTGCATACAAATGAGTCAGATCTGTAAAACTGATCCACACGCAACACTCACGTTCTGCAACAGGACTGCAGTCCAGAAGTAGACGAAAAAACAGAACCTTCCGCCAGAGTTTACAGCTGGTGAACGCGAAGAAGAAGGAGGTGCAGGTGATAATACAGGTAAACGGTTGTCCTATTATGCGTTAGCTAGCGAAAGAATTGAGACAGTTCAAAAGGTTGTTTGTAAGAAACTGCAATATCAGAAGGTTTGTTCACAATGAGTACAACGGATGCTCACAGAAATCAAAAGGTGAACGCACTGGTTGGTGTTTGCACCACTTGATGCATTACAGAACAGAGGATAATGCAGTTCTCTTCCCCATTGTGGTAGGCGATGAGTCACTGTGTCACCACTCGAGCAACAAGAGATGGGGCATGCAATGGAAGCTTGCTGGATCAATAAACGCCAAACCATTGAAGTCACTGGTTTCCGATGGTAAGCTTATTCTGAGAGCATTTTTTTTTTTTCACCATTAGGGCTATTGTTGGCAGCTTTAAAAAACCTTGTTTCCGCTCTACCCACTACTCGGAAATACAAGACAAGCTACATAGGGCCATCATGATTAAATGTCCTGGCATGCTCTCTCACAGTTTTATGTTGCGGCACGACAATGCTTGTCCGCATGTTGCAATGACTGCAGGAAACGTTGGTATGGAAGAGGTGGGAACTTCTGCAACATCCAGCCTATAGTCCTGGCTTGTCACATTATGATTTTCACTTGTTCAGACCTCTTAAAACAACCTTTCAAGAAGAGACGATGTTGTCTATTCGCAGAAGTAATGAACACGCTGGATTTAGTGAGAAACTACAATTTTGTTCGCATTCCCCGCCTACCCAAGCCATGTGATACTTGTCGGAATGCCTGAAAACACTATTTCTGACCAACACGGTATTCATTCTTTCAAAATAAAGGCTTTATTTAATTATTTTATGGTTGTGTTATAAAGCTACTGAAACGGGTTTCAAATAAACACTTTTTACAGAAATTATAGTATATCTGATCTGTTTAGCATGTGCTAGAAGTTTTTTGTTTGCAAAAAAAGTTCGTTCGTTCGTTCGTTGTCAACCCCAGTCAAATACATGATTTTTCAAGAGACTATTAATTTCAAATCATCCAACTACTTCCATAAAATATCACCTTTTAAAATGACTGTTTTTTTTTTTTTTTTTTTTACACAACTCTGTAGGGCAATAGGAAAAAATTGTTCTTTTTTTTTTTTGACAAAAAATATCAATCTATTTCCACAGGTCAGTAATTTCTAACCAAACATGGCTGCCAAAATATCCAAAGAAAGCAAAACACCCTATGTGTTCCTTGGCCGGTCTGGTGTGAAAGTATCAAATATCACTTTAGGAACTGTGACTTTTGGAGAGCACCAGGTGAGGTGTCAATGATAGGGTGTTCTCATTTAGATATTATTACGCTAATAGAGCTGATCAAACATTAATGAAGCTATGAAGCGAACAGTAGTGGCTGCAGTCAAATAAAATTCAAGTTAATTTATTTTCCGTCTTTACACAAGTGCACATTCACCTGGCCTGACGGATATGTCATTCCTTTCGGAAACACTTCACACACGTGCCACATTTACCTGGCCTGACGGATATGTGATTCCTCTCGGAAACACTTCACACACGTGCCACATTTATCTGGCCAGACGGATTTGTGATTCCTCTCGGAAACACTTTACACAAATGCCACATTTACCTTGCCAGACGGATATGTGATTCCTCTCTCAAAACTCTTCACACAGATGTCACATTTACCTGGCCAGACGAATACGTGATTCCTCTCAGAAACACTTCATCTGAGTGATTTTATGTATTCCTGTTCGTGTTTGTGGTATAAGTAGTGTGCCGATAAAATTTCTTTAGCCGCAGCGTCTACTTGTCCTTTGGGTGTGTGTGAAATATGTGAAGTTTACTGGTTCTGCTTTTCGTTTGACTTGATAACTTTCCAAACTGATAGCAAGAAGTACTACATGCAACTTAAAATGTGACCAATAGTACTAACTACAACACAAACTGTTTCGATACAAGTATTTATCAACGGAATAATCTTGAACGTCTTTACAATCATGATACTAATTAACAAAGTTTGTATTGTATTTAGTATTATGTTGATAAAAACTTCGCTGAAACGTACTGTCGTATTTGTACGCGTATTTTCCATCCTCCCTTTTGAGTTTTCAAGTCATATTTTCTATTGTATTTAGTAATTAATTAATCCAGCTCAGGAAATTTGAGTGTGTCTGTGTGTGTGTGTGTGTGTGTGTGTGTATGGTAATAAGCAGACTGACAGATTGGCTCATGCCGTCCCTCTGGGTGGTGAGCTACTTTACAATAAAGCGGATGTGGCGAAAGCTCTAGGATGAAGTAGACAGTGCAGCGGATCATACAGCGCTTCTTTATATGAAGATAATAGTTCACTTGGGAGTGGGTGGAAGGTTTGGATGTTGTTGTTGTTCTCTTTTTACCCTCGGGGTGGGGGGGGGGGGGACGGGTGACATTTTAATTAGGTTGCAACTGGCAGCATCCGTTTCAGAATGTTTCGGTGCTTCATAAATATCCTACCCCCAAATGACGTCACAGAACAGTCTAACCTTTTAGAGGGTGGTGAGACTGGGTTTCCCGGCTTTCTGATGCCTTTAACGACCCCGAAACATCTAGAACTGGCCCTAACCCAAACCCACATACGTCCCACGACAGAGTGCAGCCTAGGTCCCACTACTGCATGCAGGCTTGGTTCCACGACTGCATGCAGCCTATCCACCACCCCTTGCAATATTAGACTGTCACGTAACCTGTGATATTTTCCCTGTTTGGGGTAAGAAATTAATGAAGCACCGTTTCGTAGGCAACTGAGAAATCAGACGGATCACGTATGGAGATGTGACGAGTTCATTGATGTCAGTTCCTGATTCATCCGTATGGAAGCCAATTAAGCAAACTGACAAGAAAAATTATGCAACTATGCAACTCTGAAGTCTCAACCAGAACTGAGCTGGAGCGGGTCTTTGACTGGATATCCGATTTTTCTGTGTGGCTGAATCTCCAGATAATCAGAATCCCAGAGTCCGCCAAGAATAATATCCTTAGATGTGAAGTTCCAGTAATGATTTTGAATACCCCCCCCCCCCCCTTTTTTCCCTCGCTCCTACTGGTTGGTTTCATAGCTGGAAGGGACATGAGAGCTCTTCATCACAGACCCCATGGAGATGGTTATTCCCTAGTGTCACATAAGAACATCAACTCCCCTACCACAATAAACTCGCCCACAGTCTTGACACCCCTATACTTATTGGTGTATCTATATCTCGGATCGTCCGTCCGTATATACATAGTTCTTTTGTTATTCGGGAGTCCAGATGTTAGAAACGTGTATCAATCACTCCTAAATTAATCCGTGAAGTCGATGCCAGCAAGTCTCTGAGAGGCCTTGGTAATCTTTCCACTGGTCGTGGAGAGAAGCATTATCATACAGAGTTATTCTGGGAATCGTCATGTTGTAGAGATCTACTATTCAGTACATCAGAGGAGCTGCAGGATCTAGTGCAGATAAGTGCAACGTTAAGGTATACCATGGCAGCCAGAATCCGAATGCGCCCAAATATATCTCTTCACTCTCCAGTCGATGATGAGCCCGGAAATGGAAGAGGCGATCCAGGGAGACCCGTTCTCTAGTCTTAACTCTTTGAGAATATTATGAACTATCGTTCTATTTTTTTTTTTTTTATGCATTTCATCTTCCTTTACCACTGTGAATTTATTACATTATGTTTCTTGTTCACAAGATTTCTTATTCTTGGAAGAAAGTTGTCTTGATAGAATTATTTGTCACAGCCAGAAGTGAATTCATGTCTTGTCAGACCTTCTGTTGTTTATATACTCGACTGTGTTAACGTTGATTAAAAGTCTGGGGGCAAAATCAGTAATGAGGATGTCTGGCAGAGTGCTACCCAAGAGTTTGTAAAAACCCTGTGGAGTCAGAGCTCTTGTCACCTCATTCCTGAGATAGGCTGAATGTATGTTTGAACCGACGACTTTCGCTCTAGACAAACGAGAGCCAACATACAGAATACCACTATCTCAGAGTACCTGGGGATTTGGGAATATAATCCTGAAGTAAAGGTACGCTACGAAACTGCCATACGATAACTAGTAACAAAATTATTTATCCAGGGTCGACCAGGACAGAGTGACGAAGACGCTGCACATCAAATCATCAACCGTTACGTGGAGTGGGGTGGCAACTTCCTGGACACGGCCGATATGTATGGGCTTGGCAACTCCGAGACCATCATCGGCAAGTGGCTGGAAACGTAAGTGTTTACTTTAGTCAGTGGAAGTGACTACTGTAGAGAATCTGTGTCTTCTTCAGGGAATCTGTGTGCCTACTTTAGTAAATCATGGTGCCTATTTTAATGAATCCGTGTGCCTACTTTAGTGAATCCTAATGCCTATTTTAATGAATCTGAGTGCTTACTCCAGTTAATCTGTGTGCATACTTTAATAAAATCTGTGTGCCTACTTTAATAAAATATGTGTGCCTACTTTAGTAAAATATGTGTGCCTACTTTAGTAAAATATGTGAGCCTACTTTAGTGAATCATAGTGCTTATTTTTAATGAAACTTAGTCCCTTCTTTAGTAAATCATTGTGTCTACTTAAATAAAATCTGTGTGCCTTCTTTAGTTAATCATAGTGTCTGCATTATTTAATCGGTGTGCCTACTTTACCTAATCACAGTGCCTACTTGGGTATATCCAATGCCGGTTGCCTTCATGAAAACTATCCTGCAGCCCATATTTCCTCGTGTATCGTACAGCTTTGTTTTGACTGATGTTGGAAGAGCACACAATTGAAAGTGTTTGAGAACCCACTCAAAATGTTCTGATAAATTTAGTGACTGCTATTTAGTGACTTTTCGGTGACTTTCGTAACTATCGCAGTGGTGACGGGGCCGCTGTAGTGTAGAGGCTAAATGCTCGCCTACGGATCGGACGATCGTGTGTCAGGGTCCTGGAGAAGTCATACATTTTCCAAAAATGACCTTGGCTCCAAGGTAAATCCAACTTTGAGCCGGTACCAGATGAAGTACAGGGAAGCAAACACAAAATTACCCACCGAGTGCTGATGGGTCGATACAATTTATGTCTAGCCTTATATGCCCAATACGCCCGAGGGCTTGGAAAAGGGCCCCCCCCCCCCAACCTTCCCAATCAGGGTTAAAATATCCACCATTACACCTACTTTAGTTCATCTTAAAGCCGACTTTGAGTACATCATTTACTTTCTAAAGTGAAACTTTGTCAATTTACAGGCAACCCAGAGACAAATATATCATTGCCACGAAATGTCGATGTGGTATGGACCTAGAAAATAACGTCAACAGTGTGGGTCTGAGTCGACGTCACATAACCGAAAGTATCGACAAAAGTCTTCAGAGATTACACACAGACTTTGTGGATCTTTACCAGGTGGGTAGTGTCGTTTCTGTTACTGATTTACTGGTTTAGGGATGGGCATCATAACACACCGGGCACACCCATTGATGCTCCGTCTCCCACAGCAAATCTCTTAAGATGTAGAAGTTATTGCTCCTAAACGTTTGGGAGAAGAGTTGAGTTCAGCGAAGTCAAAAATTGACATTACAGCACTCTGGGCATTCCCATGTGCGCTCCGTCCCCATCTTCATCAGCCAGCGCAGAGTTCCAATACCTATGGTACCAGTCACAAGCAGGTATTATGTCCGTCTTGCCTTGCCTCTGAGCGTAGTGAGCGGGCCAAACCCTCTGGTTAAACCCAGGTGCTTCATTCTCTCCAGGCCATAATAATCTTCTTTCTCTGCTGATTCCGTTACTTGTTCCCACAGGGCCTTGACCACATCTGGCCTGTCATGTATCAATTCACCACCCAGTGGCGCAGATCTAGCCAATCTGCCTCTTCTTTGCCCACAAAGCCGACCGTCCTGGAGAAATGTATGGAAGAAGAGAGCAAATAATAGTCGTAGTTGTAAAAGTGAATTACCCTTTTCCGTACCCCTATGCACTTTCAATACCAATGCATCTTCAGCGTCCTGTACCCATCTTCGTGGTGGTCGATCCCTACCTCGCTTTCCACAAACTGCACTCTCCATCGCCATATTTTCAAAGCCACTAATGTAATATAAAATATATTATTTATGTGGATTTTATTTTAACATCGTTTTAAATCACAGGCTCATCATGTTGACGATGGAACCCCAGTCGAGGAAACCCTGAGAACACTGGATGACCTAGTCCGTGCTGGTAAAATCCGCTACATCGGCCTCAGTAACGTAACTGGTTGGCGGTTGAGTCTACTAGTAGAGACAACCAAACACCTGGGACTCAACCCAATTATCAGTTTACAGGTAGGTTAGTCAGTCCTTATGATAGTTTTGTGTGTGATGACTGTTGCTGCTACACTAAAAAAACTGAGCTGGGTTTGGTTGTTTCATCTTCTTTTTTTTTTTCTTCTTCTTCTTCTTCTTCTTCTTCTTCTTCTTCTTCTTCTTCTTCTTCTTCTTCTTCTTCTTCTTCTTCTTCTTCTTCTTCTTCTTCTTCTTCTTCTTCTTTTTCTTCTTCTTTTTCTTCTTCTTCTCTTACTTTTTCTTCTTTTTCTTCTTGTTCTTATTTTCTTCTTCTTTCTTCTTCTTTTTCTTCTTCATTTTTTTCTCCTTTTTCTTCTTCTTTTCTTCTTCTTCTTCTTCTTCTTCTTCTTCTTCTTCTTCTTCTTCTTCTTCTTCTTCTTCTTCTTCTTCTTCTTCTTCTTTTTTTTTCTTCTTCTTGTTCTTCTTCTTCTTCTTTTTCTTTCTCTGCTTGTTGTTACCTCACCGGAGTGTTGGAAGGAGATGTAAGAGTATTCTCGGCACATTTTATGATGCGTTGTATAAGTTGATCTTCATTCTTTGAAGGTCTTCTGGATGCTGTCCTTCCATCTCGTGAGTGGTGTTTGGGAGAATCCAGAATAGATCCTCTTGGCTCTAATAAACATGTCGTAACATGTAAAGGCCCCTCCTCCTAAGTCGGAGGGCATTTGCCTGAAGGGCGAAGAACCAACAGTCTACATACAAATAAGCTGATATATAAAAAGGAAGTGCACGTAAATCTTGAATCACGGAGTACGTTTCTACTGTAAACATTATGTCGATTTCTGTTAAATGAAGTTTAAATCAGGTAATAGAATTACGTTACAGACGCTTTGCCATGGTAAATTAATTGTACATTGACGTCTTGCTGTCTGCCAGCAACAATACAGTCTTGTCAGCAGAGAGTCTGAGCTGGAGCCATTCCAGGTGTGCAAGGCCCAGGGACTTGGCGTCCTTCCCTGGAGTCCACTCAAAGGGTGAGTCTGGCCTATATTTCCATTGACATAGATTTTGTTTAGTGCGGAGACACAATTAGTTTATTGCGTTCTGGAGAAAATGTTGAAGCGATTAATGAATAGGGGATCTGGCCGAAACGCAACACTTAAATGAAAGATAAGGCAGATTACAATCAGCTCTCTAGTGGACTTGTGAAACTGGAGATCGGCTTTGGCTGCAGAAAATGAAAACGGGGTTGTTGTTTTTTTTTTTGTGGAAGGAGGGATGAGGTGGCCTACGCATTGCTAACGTGAACATAAATATTATTTATTGCTGAGTGGCAAATAATAATAACCACTGTAAAAACATGAAATATATAAACAAATTAGTAAAATGATATCGTTAATACATGGTTGTCCGGGAGGAAGATGGTGGGAGTCATTTAGCAACTTTGCGAAATAATTTTTTTTTTTTTTTTAGATGTGAAAGGGGTAAATGATGAACCGACTATTAGCAACTTTTGAGCTGGACTCGAAGTGCACGAAGTCCCAGGCTCCAGGGCTGGCTGGCAACAGAGATCTCTGAAGGCGCTGCTGCCTCTTGTTGAATATCATTTAAACACAATACAGCAATTCCACAATACCATCCCACAACAATGTATAATGAATAGCCGGTTCTTTTCTTTTAATTCACCCCACCTTGGAAATCCGAGGTTTCCTGGGGAGTTCAAGGAAAAGTCTAAAAGTATAGGGGTGTCAGGGTGTGAAATAAACACCGACAAACATTAACTCTACCCCCCCCCCCCCCCCCCCCTTTCCACCCACCCTGGCTCCCACCTCATTCCTCTGCGAGATGGAATGAACTAAAAGAAAAGTTCCTGAATAGCCACAATTTTATCTCTTTTATGTAAGATTTTTTTTCTTTCATCTCAGAGGCTTCCTTACTGGAAAAGTCAAACGAGGACTGAAACCCACAGAAGGGAGGATTGGTTGGGTGGCAGACAATGAGACCAAGGCCAAGGAGAATGCTCCTTTGTGGAAATCTTTTGATGATAAATCCTTTGATGTGCTGGATGTAGCTGAAGCAATTGCTAAGAATCATTGTGAGTAGTTCCTCCTTGTTTATATATATATATATATATATGTGTGTGTGTGTGTGTTCACACACACACACGCACACACACATTATGTAGCAGGTCCTTCGCAGATTACAATCAGCCTGGGGAAAAAACTTAAGTCTCTCGCCAGCTCTCCTGCCTCAAGTACTTTTATATTCAAGGAGTAGCTTTTATCATTGCCTATCTTCTTTATGTATATATATATATATATATATAGGAAATAAGAGTGGCCTTAGTCTAGAGGCTAGACGCTCGGCTGCGGATCAGAAGGTTGTGGATTCGGTTCCTGCCAAATGCCTGACTTTTTCTCAAAATGACTTTGGCTCCTAGGTCGACACAACCTTGAGTGGGTACCAGGTACAGTCCTGAGAAGTAAAGACCGCCGGCGTGATGCTGACCACCTCACCCACCAAGTGTCGTGTGGTCTATAAAATATAAGTCTAACCCTATACACCCAGTACACCTGAGAGGCGTGTGAAAAGTATGATTTACTTGTACTTTAAAAAAAAAAAAAAATACTCGAATAGAGACACTCCAGACTCAAGGAAGAGTTAAGATGCACATCCAATCAAACTGCTACTGGTAAAATCAGAGTTCGTACTGTGTGTTGTCTACTGAAGCTGATGTATCAAGAAGCAAAATAAGTACTTGGGGTTTCTTAGCAAAAGTTATTGGTTGACGTTTAGTGCAGGAGAGCCTAGCAAATGATACTACAAAATCCAGCTTAAGAGCGAACGAACGAACAAACTATTTTTTTAAGGACAGGTTCAAAATGTTGAATTTCAATTTTTAACACTACATGAAAATGTATTCATTGTTGCACATTATAATCTGTCATGCAAAATTCCAACTAAAAGTAATGTCAATTATTTTTTTTTTCAATTGGTAATGTTACTATTATTTCAGTAAAATACTTCCTGTCCTTTTAAGGATACAATTTTTCGTTTTTTGAAGCCCTAATCTGGCTCCCTGCCAGGGGCCGCAATATAGCCTGGCCATAAATATGGCCTAGAGGCTGAATGCGGTTTCTGGGACTTTTCCACTGTGATCCTCGCCCACATGGTGGCACTTTGTGTCATCAGGTGTTTATCGCTTCTGTGATGTCCTGGTGGGGTAGAAAGTCAGTCAGTCAGTCTAGTAACTATTTATTTACTTAATTATAAAGGCAAAATATTCAAACTGTCATAACTCAGTTATTTATCAGCCTATTTTAATAATTAGAAATTGTATAACTGGGATAGTCAAATCCCTGTATTCCATGTTGGAAGGTACAGCCTAGAAATTAGAAATAGCTGTGAGAGATGCTGTTACTGTATGAAATTAAGGCGAACTAGTCAGGGCTAAACTGTGGCACAGCGTTTACACATTTTCGTAGATAGAAAGAGCTGCCAAAAAAGGGAAAAAAATGGTTATGAAGATATATTGAGCAAGGTCAATTATTCAGACAGCCGAGGAATACCCTGAGGGTGATTCATAAGCAGCAGAGACTTATAAGGTATGGGATTTTTGTGAAAACCAGCTTGGTAAGTTACTTTTTCGCGATTTTCTCAGAAATCACTTTTTTGATATTGTTTTATTGTGTTGTTCAATGATATCTCAAAAAGGTAGTAACGTACTGTCTCCAAACTTGGCACACACACTGGAGAATAACATTGAAACAGACTGAACTAGAAAGAATACAGCAGCTTGAATACTCTACGAGTTTTTGTCATCTATGATAACTCTTTCTCCTAATTATTTGGAAAAAACATTATTGTACCATTGAAGTAAGCATAACTTTTAAACCATAGCTTTCAATAAATTTTCTTTACTTCATAACGATTAAAATTTACTGCTTAATTAATGTGCAAATTTTTAATAAGCCACTTTTTTAGTGTTCTAAATATCTTCGTAAATGTTGAGAACTAATTTCGCTAGTTTCCGCAAAAAATATGACATTTTCAATCAATATGTAATCAGATGTAGTCAAATTCATTTTGGGGGTTCAAAAAAGGGTTGAGAATTGGGCACGCAGGCCCGTCTAACATTCTGCCCCTCGAGGTCTCCCTCCATCTCACAAGAATGGCAGTGGAGGCGGTCACTGCAGCTTTTCGCTGGTTAGAAAATACAAAACACACAAACACACACACACACACACACGCTCACACACACGCGCGCGCGCACACACACACACACACACACACATCATGATTGTAACTGACTCAGAAAGCCAGCTAAGGAAGGTCAGGACGGGCATGTTTCATTCAGAGTGGCATGTTTCATTCAGAGTGGCATGTTTCATTCAGAGTGGCATGCTTCACTGCGAAGGACACTGGTGAGGAGTAATCCTCGATTTGTTTCTCCTGATTATGCTGGTGTTAGGAAATGAACAGGTGGACAGAATGGTTGGCACTGCACAACTTGTTTGAATTCTGATGCATGATAAGACAGACATGGTTAGGGCCGTGTGGGAGAGCGTGTACAATTCACAGGAGCAAATGGTGTGATTGAAAGAGACTTGACTATACTAAAGCTGATGATGGAGCGCGTATGAGAATATACAGAGCGTTGTGATGTCGATTCCTAACTCATAGCAACTAATGGGTATTCTTCTCCATCATTGTCACCCTCTGCCATATCCTCGTCTTTGTTTTTGCAGTTTTCATTTTGTTATTCTTATTTGTATCCATCACGTAAACGACGATTCCCGGGGTCTTCCCCAGACCTATTTTCATACCAACTGTTAAAAAACTACAAAAGCTGTTCTTGGTCGCTTGTTGTACCCTACCAAGATATAACACCAGACCAGACCAGACTAGCGATAAATGCCCGGTGACACAAAGTGCCACCAAGCGGTTGAGGATCACCAGTGGAGAGGTCCCAAAAACCCCTTTCAGCCGTTATGGCCACAAATGTGGTACAGCTATATTTAGGGCCCCCGGCAAAAGCCAAGAGGGGTTTCAAATAACGAAAAACTGCATCCCACAAGGGGACGACTTTAGGTTGCACAATAAGAAAAGAAAACAGCTGTTCTTGTTTTTCTTGTTGTTGTTTTTTTTTAAACAATCTGATTTTAAAAAATGTAACACTATTACATGGGGAAACTGAAATTATTAATAGTGTTCAATAATCTCTAATAGAAAGCCGCAGAATAGCTGTATACTATCTTTATACGTGTGAACATGCCAGATTATACTAGTAACATATATAAAACGTTGGCTTCTCTACTCCCCAAACACAGCCAAGAGTGTCCCCCAGGTGGCCATCCGATGGCTTCTACAGAAGGATGTTGTCTCCTCAGTCATCATAGGAGTCAGAACTCTTGCCCAACTGGATGACAACATGGGAGCTAACGGATGGAGCTTGACCCAGCAAGAGGTTTGATACAATCAGCTTGATATTTTGAGAGCATTTTTAGGCATCAATAAATTGTGCATACATCTAAGAATAAATAGTAAACGCTGAGGCGACGGTAAGCACATTCCAGTTTATACATTTAGCCTGCACGACGCTGTTTCTTTTAAATGTGACAAGAGTATATCTAAACATGGCTCGAACTAAATTTCCAGACTTGTCGAGGATGAATTTAAATATAGTCGTGCTTCATTTCCAGTATAATCATGGATGATTTACTGTCCCACTGGACTAGAAATCTGCTTATGGTTTATTTCCATTATAGTCATATGTGATTTATTGATTTCCATTATAGTCATATGTGATTTATTGATTTCCATTATAGTCATATGTGATTTATTGATTTCCATTATAGTCATATGTGATTTATTGATTTCCATTATAGTCATATGTGATTTATTGATTTCCATTATAGTCATATGTGATTTATTGATTTCCATTATAGTCATATGTGATTTATTAATTTCCATTATAGTCATATGTGATTTATTGATTTCCATTATAGTCATATGTGATTTATTGATTTCCATTATAGTCATATGTGATTTATTGATTTCCATTATAGTCATATGTGATTTACAATTTAGTCATGGTAAATTTTCATTGCTTGTGTGGAAGTACCTCTGGCTGTGCTTCCGGAAAGTCTTAGTGGGGGACAAGTTTCTCTGTGGTGCATTGTCTTGCCGTAGTCTTAACACATGTCCGAACCATTTGATCTTTTATCTCTTGGTGTATTTAGCACTGGTACCGTTCAGTTATTTTCCTGGTATTGTCGTTTCTGGTTGTTTCCTTTTGTTGCATCTAAGATTTCTCGTAAATATTTTATTTCTGTTGTCTTGTTTGTTTTTTTAAAGTAAGAAGGCAAAAGGGGGCAGGGTGGGGGACGTTTTATTAATTATTCAAAACATTTCTCTGTGTGGACAGCTGCACTGACAAAACGTGACTGTAAGATACGCTTAAAACACCCATGGTTCTCATTTACCAACACAGGACCCCTTACCTGTGATCTAAAAGTGTGCAGTCAACCCAGCCCAGCTGTGACCTGACACTGTGGAGATAACAAGACTACAGTATCCTTGAATGCAGTCCGTTAGACAGACAATATATCAGCCACTCAGTTATAATCAGTCAGTCCGGTTATCACAACATGATACCCAGCATGACTGCAGCTGAGCCAGTATCAAACAATGAATTCCCTGATGCATCACTAGGAACAATCTTATTTGACTAGACAAAAAAGGTGCCGGTACAGTGTACCGACAGAAAAACAGCAATGAATAGGAAGCTTAATGTGCAAAAAAAAAAGAGGAAAAAAAGGTATGGGAAAGGGGCATGGGGGGGGGGGGGTGGAATAAGACAGAAGCAGAAATAATCGAACGTTTCGATCAATCTTTGTCAACCACAAGGAAAAGAAGAATTCCAGACATCAGCCCTGATACGTTAGTCACGTCCAGTGTCGTATCGTCCGGCTATTCAATCTGTCAGTAAAGTAATAAGAGCAAAAAATGCACACTATGGGTACAGTAAAACGTTACACAAACTTCACTTCTTGTTGTGAAACGTTACACAAACTCCGATTCTCGTTGTAAAACGTTACACAAACTCCGCTTCTCGTTGTAAAACGTTAAACAAACTCCACTTCTCGTTGTAAAACGTTACACAAACTCCGCTTCTCGTTGTAAACCGTTACACAAACTCCACTTCTCGTTGTAAAACGTTACACAAACTCCATTTCTCGTTGTAAAACGTTACACAAACTCCATTTCTCGTTGTAAAACGTTACACAAACTCCACTCCTCGTTGTAAAACGTTACACAAACTCCATTTCTCGTTGTAAAACGTAACACAAACTCCATTTCTCGTTGTAAAACGTTACAGAAACTCCATTTCTCGTTGTAAAACGTTACACAAACTCCGATTCTCGTTGTAAACCGTTACACAAACTCCTCTTCTCTTTGTAAAAAGTAAAAAAAAAACTTCACAGCTCTGGTTGAAATGCTGGTAACATGCTACAAAAGCTGCACATCCGCTGGTAAAATATTACACCAAAACAGAAACAAAACAGTGCTTACAAGCTCCTAAAATATTATACACATTGCACATCTGTAGCTCATCATCATTATGTGCCCTGCCAATTGGCGTAAGCGCTCATGATTCCTGGTTGCCTGTAACAGCTCTCTTGTTGATATCCCTCCATGCCAACGTTTCAGCCCATCATCTCTCTTGTTCTGCCTCTACCCCTTTTTCCACTGATCTTTCCAGTTATCACGATGTTCTCCAGTGTCTCTCTTCTCATTGTGTAGCCAAAGAACAGTGTATGTCTCTTTCTTTTTGTTGTATACAGAGATTTCATTTCATTAGCTTCTTTCAAGCAATCGTTGTTGGTTACTCTGGCCTTCCAAGGTATTCGTAACATTCGTCTCAGAAACCACATCACTGTTGCTTTCAAATTCTTCCTCATTTGTTCTCTTCCAAGATTGGCTGCCATACAGAAAAACAGGTGCTATGTAACATTTGTGCACTCTTATTTCTGACATTAAATGAAAGCGATTTATTGCATAAGATAACTTTACAAAACTCGCACATCTTAAGGTAAAATGTTGTAACAGCTCTCATATTGTGCTTCTAATGTTGCAGATGCAGCAACTAGATGACGTCTCGGCTCCTCCACTGGCCTACCCCTACAATATGGTCTTCTCAAACAACACCGATCGTGTGAACCCAGCGGCCAATAATTTCTACGTCAAATCAACCAGCAATTTAAAGTCAGCTCTGAATGTTTAG